GGGGGGGGGGGGTTCTAAAATTAACCCATATTTTTACGCGTAATTGAGATCATATATGGTCAAGCAATTTCAACATTTCATTTTTCGTCTCTTATATAATATATTAGGTTGAGGAGACAAAAGTTGAAAGTCTTAAAAAGGATAAGGCAGCTACAGAAAAGTTGCTACAGGAAACAATAGAGAAAAATCAAGCGGAGCTTGCTGCTCAGAAGGAATTCTATACCAATGCCCTGAATGCAGCCAAGGAGGCTGAAGCAGTGGCAGAGGCACGGGCAAATAATGAAGCACGAGCTGAACTTGAGACTCGCTTGAAAGAAGCCAGTGAACGTGAATCTATGCTGGTTCAAACACTGGAGGAACTGAGACAGACTTTAAGTAGAACTGAACAACAGGTACTTGACCTCTGATCTCCCTCTCTAATTGTAATGCTCGCATGATATATTTTCCCACTTATGATGTACGTTTGTTGCATCCAACATTTTTGCTAGTGATTTTGTATGGTTCTTTCAGAAAGATGTCACGTTTACTATTGGGTCAAATGTTGTAGGCAGTTTTTAGGGAAGACATGCTCCGGAGGGATATTGATGATCTTCAAAAACGCTACCAAGTCAGTCATACCTATTGAATATTTTCCGAACTACTACTTTTATGTCTTTCTAGTGTTTTGCTTACATAAAATTATCTGGCTTTCAGGCAAGTGAGTTGCGGTATAATGAGTTAGTCGCAGAAGTTCCTGACTCGACTCGGCCTCTTTTAAGGCAGATTGAAGCAATGCAGGTAGAACACTTTTTTTTAACTATAATTTCCCCCCCTCTTGAAGCATTTTCTTGCAAGATTCTTGATGCATAGAATACATCTGTCTGATCAGATAATTTTATGTTTTCATTTATTTATTTAAACTTTTTTGCACAATTTTGTTGGCTTAACAGGAAACAGCTTCCAGAAGAGCAGAGGCCTGGGCTGGTGTGGAGAGAGCCCTTAACTCTCGCTTACAGGTTATTTCGTTGTTGAAAATCTATACATGTGTATCTTCTAACGTTACAATAAGAGTCTGTTTTGTTGTTTTCTGCAAAATAACAGAAACTCAAACCAATAAAAAAAAGCCATTTCAATGCATTTCAACACATTTCCTAGAAATTATTTTTCCTTGTTTGTTTCCTGTAGAAAATTAGGGTGGAATTGGCATACTTGAGATTCTTGTGTTTGTGGAGTAGACAAAAAAAAAAGGAACCGCTAGCCTTGAAATCACATACCTTGAGTAAGAACCAATGTTACATTACACGTTAGACGCTTCTAGGCGTCGGACTTGGCGCCCAGCGCTTAGTCGCCTACGCGGACGCCTAAGCGGTTTCTGGGCGTTTTTTTTTCTTTCTTCATTTCGATGAGGTTTTGCTGAAGGTCGGAGGAGGTAGTGGAGGTGTTCATATTTGGAGGTTAATGGAGTTTGGAGGACGTGTAGGCTACAACACATAAAATCACAATCAAGGCTTACATGGTGCAATCCACGTAAGCAGACAATGCTCCCCTAAACGCTCGTAAAATCTAGGTGGGCAGCCTAAATACCGCCTAGGCGCTAGGCGCTAGTTAGGCGGCCTAGGTACCGCCTAGGTCTAGGCGTACGCCTAAGCGGTCTAGGCGGAGGTTTTTTAAAACAGTGGTAAGAACCCACCTGATTTGACTTCTTTATTCCAAAAAAAATTTAATTCGAAGCAATTTCCTCTCCTGTTTTGCTGAAATTGATTTCTCTGATATCAGTTACTTCATCACAAGTTTGGGGATAACTTCCCCCTTTTTCTGTTGCAAACCAAACTGTAGACAAAGAAAGCAAAACAGCAAATTGATCTCCATGTTGAGGGGGAAAACTGATTTCTTAAGTTTTTTTATCCAATCAAACAGCCTAATACTGCACTAGTCACTAGGAAATGGTGTACACAGTATTAAATGATGTATTGATGAAATAAGAAATTAGTAGCAGAAGGTTCCATTTTGGAGTTAAAAAAAAAAGAAAAAAGAAACACTCCTATATGCATCGGATGTGGCTTGGTAGGGATAGCGTGATAAATTTCTGGTATGACTCTTTTCTGATCCAAAGTTGGTATCGCTCCTGTTTCAAAATCATTATTTGATGTGTACTCCCTTCGTTCCAGTTACTATGTAGAAGAAATAAATCCAAGAAAGGATTTTGCTCAAGGATGAGATCTTAATCTTATTTATCTTGTTCATATCTGATTCTTTAGAACTCTTATCAGATCTTGGACTATTTTGTAATATGTAATTATCGACTATTTTGTAATATGTAATTATCCTGGACTTTTTCTTTCCGATTGGCTAGAAGGGATAAATGGATGTCTTTGTACTCCAGAAACTTATAATCTTTAACAGATCTCTGGCTAGAATTTGAACCACTAGGATAGACTCTGCAGAAATTACTGCAAAGTTGGCCACTTTGTTTTCCTGCGAGCTCCTCATTTTGTTCCACATATACCACTTCCTTTAGTTTTCAAACTTCCTAGTTTTTTTTTGCGCAGAGTGTCAGCAGAACCCAATAAGAGCAGATTTTGCTGAGAAGTTTCTCTATTTTCTTCCATTTGTTTTTGAAACTTGATGTTTTGTTTCGGAAGTTCAACACGTCCTCATATATTTTACTCTGGAAGCGTTTGACTGTTTGTGATTTTTCATCTACTTCAACTCTGTTCCTTATTTTGTTGACTTAAATTGGCAGGAGGCTGAAGCCAAAGCAGCAGCTGCAGAAGAGAATGAACGAGTCATGAATGAGCGGTTATCACAAAGTCTATCTCGCATAACTGTTCTAGAAACCCAGGTCCTAATCTTGCCTGTTGATTTATAATGGAATACAGTGTTAATTAGACAATTCATCCTGGTACTTATTCCTTGTTGAAGTGTTGCAGATTGCTTGCCTAAGAACGGAGCAAACACAACTGAGTCGATCACTTGAAAAAGAGAGGCAAAGGGCTTCTGAAAGTAGACAAGAATACCTGGCAACAATGGAAGAAGCTGCAACTCAAGAGGGTCGCGCCAAACAACTTGAAGATGAAATTAAAGACCTGAGAAGTAAACATAAGCGAGTTCTGCAAGAAGAAATGGCAAAAACTGAACTTCTAGAGAAGGTAATGTTTGTTAGAACTATGTTGTTTGTTTTTCAGCC